TTCATCTGAGGCCTCTAAAAACTTGCTTCTTTCACCCAAAGATTCACCCAAAGATATATTTTCCTCATTTTCCTCACAATTCTGTGATTCTAAAATAGCTAATAACAACATTAATATAACATTTTTAATTACATTAAATTTATATTTTATTGCATTATTAGAGGTTTTCTCTTTATAAATTGTAGTATTGTTTAGTTTTTATGTTAAAATTTGTGATTATACTCTTATTAAATTGTAATAGAATTCAAACTATTGAAAATAAAATGAAGGGGGAAACATTCTGAAATTTGTCATTCTAAAATGCGAAAAAGACCATCTTGTTTTCAATAAACCGTGTTCAGGCTTATTTTCCTCCATAAATATCTAGTAAATTAATTTAATCTCAGTTACAAAATCCCAAGTTATTTTTTTAAAAAAATACTAAAGTTCCCTTTTTTTCCAAAACAAAGCTATAAACCTTTGCATGTTAATAAGTCCTCCTTTTCCACTCATTTTTTTCATATAATTCAGCACAATTAAGGAGGAATGTGTTATTTTCTCAACACCTCTAAGTTTTCATGTTCCTGAAATTCTTAAATATATGCATACAGTCAGTACCCATTTGCCCACATTCCAATCAATAATTATACTTCCAACTTTAGGAGTATTTTATTTTATTTTATTTTATTTTATTTTATTTATTTATTAAATTTTTCAACCGCCCATCTCCCCTCACTGGGGGAACTCTGGGCGATTCACAACAAACATTAAAAACATAAAATATATAAATACATAAAACCTTACAATAGTATATTACTATTGTAGCATTTTAAAAATATATATATTTAAAACAATGGAATTATTTCCAACCTTTTGTTTTACCATTAAGTAAACCTCCATTGGTAATAACATACCCAATCTCCTTCCTATTCTTTCTCTCATTATTATATCTTTCACTATTAATGAACTTTGTATTTCTAAATTTGGCTTCATACAGGTATAGTTCTTCAGTTCCTGATAATGTTCTCAAAAGGAAGGGATTTTTAGCAGCAGCTCCCTACCTGTGTTTCCATTTCCAAGTGTGTTTCCCTTTCCAAGCTTGCAGAGGAGCAAGTCTGTCTCTAACCCTGGAAATATGGAGGTCCATATTTTGTCATTTGTACCAAGATAAAAAATTGGCAAATTTCTGACTGTTATAGGGTCCAGGTTTTTCCTCCCACAAGTATTTCCCAATATATCCCTAATATTATTTTGTTTTAGTTACATGAATGGACATGTTAAGGTATTTCTGTGTCTTAGAATTTCCATTAGAGCACATTGTGGAGAAATTCTGACTTTCTGTTTTTAATGGATATTGTACAGAAAGAAGTAGTGGAAGAATTTCACAATGAAAGACAACATTTTCTAAGCCCTACCCATTAAATCCAAAAATGAACCAAGATCATTGTGTTAAAAAACTTTTATTGAGAAAAAAATTACATTTTCTGTTTGGTCCGTGCCTCACAGTCAGCTTTTACTTGAGTATGTACTGGGTTTCTAAATCTTACATTTTATAAAAATTACAATAAAGTAATTATACTTGAATATAGCCCATTTTCTTTATACCATTCCAATTTAGGTTTTTAATACAATTGTAACTATTTATCAGTTTTCCCTACTTCATAATATTTTTAAAAATAAGGGGATATTTAACTTTCATCTTTTTACAGATCATTTAAAATTGTCCCTTTATCTTGAGACATTCATTCATTCATTCATTCATTCATTCATTCATTCATTCATTCATTCA